ACAGTAATTGTAAAGTTTATGTTGTCAATGATGATGGTGGGTGTAGAATTTCAAACTATCTGGCAGAAAGGCTTGAACGATCAACAACTGCTCCTGTTTCTGGCAAACTATTGTGACAGGAGGCGCAGACGAATCATATTTCTCTCCAGTGGGAGAAATGAGATTGCCTCTGTGGCGAAATACGACCAACCTGTTCAGCTCATATTTTGGCAATGTGTTCTGTCGACCGACCCAACATCTGACCTGCTGACCTCATTCGATAAAACAACAGATTAACAAGTTAGCTATATTTCTATAGTTTGTCGAATGAACTGAGTCAAAAGAATTTTAGCAGAATGAACATGAATATGGTTATAGATTTTTTTTATCGGCCGTGACTCATCAGGACGTGGGCGATTATGACTCTCCACAAATTCCTATCGTTCGTAGTTACAAGCAATGTTTGTCTCTTTACTATCCCGCCTATTCCCTATTCTGCCATGCATTTGTACAATCTCGTTGGGTAGGTTACTCTCTGTTTCTATCTACACCTTTTGTTTTCGGTATGTCTTGTGAGTGCCAAATTCTCCAGGTCATCTTTCCTTATTATGTGTTAGAAATTTCAAATATTTCAAATTCTAAGAAAAAATTTACTTTTTATTTTTTTCTTTACTTAAGATGTCCTCATTACTCACATCTTCCATCCATAGTATTTTCAGTATCAGTATCCTTCTGTAGGACCATATCTTTGTTGTTTCAAGTCATCTTTTCATCTGTAAGGAACTTGTCCAGTATTCAGTGCCATATAGGAAGATTGGTATTACATCGCAGTTAAGCACTCTTTTCTTTTTTTTTCTTAATACTTTGTTTAGCATTTGGAAAGGGATAATTCGCTAACCCAGTCTCTGTGTCAAATTTCTGCCATCTGTTAAAAAATCTTCCCTTGATGTTAAATTTTTATACTTTTTAAACTTTTTATACTTGCATGACTTTTACATCACCAATTCGTAGCTCGTATATTGGGCTGTCCCTTTTGCTAATATACGCTGTCTTACAATATATGTTTAGACCTTTCTTTCCCCCTGTCCCTTACTAACTTTTCTTTGTGTCTCTCTCGTCTGTGTATCATGTTCTTAACGTTTTCTTCCACTAACTCCTGCTAGAACTTCATTCTCAAGCAGTTATCCATCTAGGTACTGATGATCGGTCTCAATGTTGCTTAACATTGGTGATCGTACGCGAACCAGTATTTCACCGTGATGTGGCCGTAAGTCGGTTTGACATTTTAATCGAAAAATACAACGTTCACTGCCTATAAATTTGACAAAAATTTGGGATACTGTTATGCGCCATATTTATTTTATTTACGATTGTCTAACTGATTTTCAAATCTTGCGAATCGAACGTTAATGATGCCATTGTTTGAATGAACCATAGTTGTGGAAAATTCTAAAGCTGTCGATAACAGAGAAATTTACTATTAACTAAACTCTCAAAAACAACGTTTATTAAATCTTATTGCTCTGTGAAAAACGTATTATACCATTTTTTTTTTTTTGTCCATCTTGTACAATGTTTAACTCAGGGTGACAGCAGCTGATCGGAGTGTGTAATTTTTCAATAAACGACATTTTAATAATTGAGCTGTAACATCGTCGACGTCGTTGTTGGCGTTACCCACACGCATTCGAGCATCGGGACCGCCATCTTCTCTCCTTATTATTTTTCTCCGTGCCAGTGGCGGTGACGGAGATTGTTGTCATGGCACAGCCTACTCCTGAAGACTCGTGAGCAGGAGTCAAAGAGGGTGGTGCACGCGGCTGGACGTGTCGGGTCCTCCTAACAGCATGTTGCAGATCCTCTTCATGTTGACGGTTGGATTCGAAATCCTCCCCACTCCCCCGACTCAGATGGCCCTACAGCAGGAAGGCCAATTTACAGCAACTGTTTCCTAGGTCGCAGGGTCGATGTTGGCCTGTCAGGGATGTTTTCAAAGGATCCGTGAAGCCTTGTTTGGTGCCTCCGCGTAGCGTCTTGACACTGGTGAGTTCTCTAAACAGGATGATACGTGGGAGCTGAGTGACCCGCCCAGCGGAGGCGATGTCGAAGGATTGTAGCCTCGATATTTGGAGAGAGATGTCTGAGAGAGGACCCCGTTGTTGGTGATGCTGTCCTCCCAAATGATACAAAGGATTCTTCGGAGTTTCGTTTGCTGGAACCATTCTAGACGTTTGATGTTCCGTCGATACAAAATCCAGGCTCCGCAAGCGTACAGAAGGGTAGAGAGGACCACGATCCGGAACACCATGATTTGGGTTTTTTTATAGTGAGGCCGTGATTGCTGAAGACCTGATGTAAGAGAGTTCTGTACGTAGTATGAGCCGCTTTGATCCTGATGTCAAAGTCTCTCTCACAGGTGACCTTATTCAAGAACGTCAATTAACAACTGAAACACGTATCAACACTTGCACCTATTAAACCTGCTTATATCACGGCTCAATTTCAATAAAACAAAATCAGTGATGTGCTTTATTATTGTCACCAGTCAGTTGTTGATTTATGATTATGCTTTGTACATTTATTTTAGTTTATTTGTAACATTTTATACAATGTCTCAGTAGTCACTTCTTATATGATTTAATCAATCTTAATTGCACGCGTACCCATAAGACTACAAGTTTCCATGGTGCATAATACTTAGCATGCAGACAGACCAACGCAAACATATATCATAAAGAGGGCAAAGTGGACACCGACCGTCCTGGGTATGACAATAATCTACATCCGGTAGCAAGGCCTCTGATCGGGAGGTTTCGAGGAGTGTGGAACCATCTCAGAATTGATGTTATTTCCAGGTCCACCCTAACTCAGGGTGGTAGTACCTGTTAGGGTCCAAACTCTTGGCAAATAGTTAACCCCCAAACTGGGTTCAAAACAATATGAGAGTATAAAAATACAAGTAAAAGTGCCAGCAATACATTTTTGAAGAAAAAAAATACATTTTTGCGAATGAAATTACTAATGCTTCCAAAAAATTAAATTTCGACCTTAAATGAGTTGATATGCCGCTAAACAAATAAACCCTTCGCGGCAATTGCAAAAACAAAATGTACACCGATAAGTGGTGCCAGGGTATCTATAGGCTCCTGGTATGATTATCTTACGATTATAAATTAATAAACAAATTCAGGGTGAAATTTTAAAACTACTGTCCATGAAAATGGCTTTCTTCTTTAAAAATTCGCTACATTTGAGAGGCTCTCTCACGTCAAAAATTAGAGATTTTTGCGAATCGATGTTCCCATTTTCATAACATTAATAAAAT